ATCATGGATTCGACAAGGAAGCTATCCTTAGTATTTTATATAGGGGAGTTAGTAAGGAGCTAAAATGGAGATTGGATGTGGTTAGCAAAGGAAGTTTTGTAAATCTCAATATCGAACAAGGAGAGTTACTTGTTGAGAATTTGGCTGAAAGTGATCAAAGGTGCAATGAGATATGTGATAAATCGTATATAGAGATATCACAAGACGGCTACACGTTGAGATATTTGCAAGATAAATTAGAGAATGTGGAGAAGCTCTTGAAGATGCAACAACAACAAGAGGGATTATTTCAAGTTCAACAAGAGCAAGGATTCAAACCAAGGTCTCAATTATCAAACAAAAGACAATCTTATATTCAACCTCCTCCTCAAGATGATGAAGTGAATTCCATGTTGAATCAAGTTTTAGAAGGCCAAACTAAGGATTATATGGATTTTGGTAAGAGATGTGTTGATATGCACAACAAGATGGATGAGATGTACAATGCTCTTGAGGGTAAGATCACTAGCTTGGCTTCTCAACATGAAGATATGAAGAGTAAGAAAGTGATTAGAGACTTTACTTATCAACATGAAGAGATCAAAGTTGTTAATGTGGGGAATAAAGAGACCATAAAGCTTGATGAAAACATCTTGGATGGTGAGTGTCTAGCCTCTTTATTTTATGAGTTTAAAGGCGATGGTAAAGAGGAGCATTTAGGCAAAGCTAAGAGAGGCCTTGAAGCCAACAAGAGGAAGAAGAAACAACCCCCCCCCTCCCAACCTTGTTCCTTCCTCTAACACCATGAGTTTGCACCCCTTGAAGCTAATAGATGGAGCAATTGAGTATAAGGAGAAGTGTAAGGGTTCTTCTACACCTTTTGCAAGTTTCAAAGCAAGAATCCAACCCGAACTTCAAAGCGACAAATCTAGGCTTCAAGATCTCCTCTCAAGGGTCATCACCATCAACCAAAATGGTGGAACACGGTCCAACCATTCCCGCCTCCACACTCTTTCAACCCTTCCAACTAGCCTACCAAGGAGTTCCACTCCTCCTCCCCTCACTCTCCTCCCTAAGGTTCACAACTAGGGCCAAGGTATGGCCTCACCTTCCATTGTATATACCGCTTTAAGACTCATTTTAGTTTCTTTTTTGTTAGTCTCTTCCTCATCTTTTTATCACACCGAGACGTTATGAATTAAGTTTGGGGGAGGGACTAGGTATCTAACGTTGTGTTTTGTTTTGTTTTTCTTTTCTTTGAGTCTTGCATTGTGAATAGCTATGTTTTGAGAAAAATCAAAAAATTTTGAAAAATTTGAAAAATCCAAAAGAATGCATTTAGTTTTGCATAGTCATTTCTATCTCTAGGATTGAGTCTAGTAGCATATAGCTTGCATTTGCATAAAAATTGGAAGTGATGATTCATATGCCTTGTAGAAATTCAACCTTATGATTGAATCTTACAGCCCTCGGTCATAGTTCATTGTTGCTTGATCATCTTGGAAAGAAATGAAAATTCATGCTTAGACCTTTGCATTCTTTGAAAGCAATCTCTTCTTGTGTGAAACTTATATGATCTTTGAAGCATCTCTATGTATTTGGACTTAATTTTAATCTTATCCTCTCGCTTATGGTTTTTGAATGCATTCTCATGGTAAATTCTTCTTAATCGGATCATATACCCTTTCACCACTCTCTTGAATGATTTGAAACTCTCCCCTACCATTGACCTAGCCTTTGTTTTCATCCCATGGAATGATTTGCGAGTGAGGCCTCTTCTTGATAATGTTATAGATTGTGAAATCTTGAAAGTATTGAGAACGACAATGTTTAACTCTTGTTTTAGCTAGTATTGGAAACATTATAAGTTAGCTTTTAGGAGGGAATGAAAAGTTAGGTGGTTAGATTGATCAATTGGGTTTGGTTTGGGAGAAAGAAGAAAAGGATGAAATAAAAAGGGAGGTTTGATCAAGGTTTTAAGAAGAGTCCCTAGGGAGTTAAATTAAGTTTAAAAGAAAGCTCTAAGTCTCTAAGTTGTGTAATAAAGAGATATGCCAAGTTAGTTCCCCAAAAGGAAGAAAAGAAAAAAGAGTTTAGAAAGTTACAAGTCTTGGGAATTAAGGGAAACAAAGAGAGAGATAAAAAAAAGAGCTAAGTGTTTAAGAAAAAGAACTCCCTAGGTGTCTACAAAAGCAAAATGATCAATGAGTGTGGGTTAAAAGTCTTTGTGGGTAGGAAGAAAAAAAGAGAAGAAAAAGGAAAAGAAAAAGGTTATGCTAAGGGTAGAAAATAGGATCTTGCATCTAAGACGGGTAGAACAACAAGAGTTAAACTTTGTATGCGTAAATTGTTCTTGGTCTTGGATGGATTTCATGATTTTCTAACATTCCTTTGTTTGAGAGTTAGCCACCCAAAGAAACAAACAAACAAAGCCACCTCAAAAAGCCTTTACCCTAAACCGATTGAGATTGATTTATTTACCATTTGCGAGACCGCGCCAAACACCTTAATGAATGTGAAAGAGATGTTTCAACTTGATTGTGAGTCTTTGCTAATAGTTTGAGATTGAACTAGAATTATGAATTAACTTGAGTATGAGAAAATATTTGAGAGTACGATGATTGATTCAAGTACTTTTAAACTATCTTTGAGGATTTTGGTTTGAATCATTTGCTTGATATTTTGTGGTTATTGAATTCCTCCTTCAAGCTTCTCTCTTGGCCTTTATTTAGATTGTTTTCTTGAGGACAAGCAAAAGGAAAGTCTGGGGGAGTTGATACACATCATGTTTACAGCTTTATTAAGGGTTTTATTATCCTTTTTATCATGTTTCAATTGTATTTTCATTGTGTTTTGTTGCATTTAGTGTCTAAATGAGTCTTCTTGCTTTTTAGAAGTCATATAGTATCTTTGAGTGTGTTTTAGTGTGTTTTGGGTGTCTTTTAAGTTATTTCAGGTTAAGATAATAGAAGATACATGTTTGAATGCAAAGTGGAGGATTGATGATGCAGATCCAGTCCGAATTCCCTCAAAGATCGACTCAGATGAAGTCTTTAACTTGTGATTTAGCTTTGAAGCTCTGAACAAAAGTGATAGGAAATCGAATTAGCTTTACAACGGTGGTGGTGTCAGGCCAATCAGAGTTATAGTTCATGAGTTATGACTGATTTAGTGAGAGTATATCCATACAGAACGAAGATAGAAGCCATCGAGAATTACAATCGACCAACAGGTCGGTGGCAGGTCGGTTGGAGTGAAACAGACGCCAAAACAAGTTTTCAATCGACCATACAATCGACCGGTTGGATATAAAGACTTTGGGTTTGACCCGGTTCATCTCAGGTTGACCCGGATCGATTTCTTAGACTATATAAGTGTTTCAAGGCCTAAAATTATGGATCTTATGCTATCTTTTGTGCTTATTTTCAATTTCTTTTCTATCTTTGGAATCTTTGTATGAATCTTAAGTACATTTATGCTATTTAATCTTGTTCTCTTTTAGATTCATCTTCTACTTTTCTCTAATTATGTTTCTTCAAAGATCAATTTCATTGCTTTGTGGTTACATGATCATGAGTGAGTAGTCTTTTAGAGTTCTTGGGTTTTGGTAGATTAGGATGATTTAGTAGTTGGGTTATGGAGTTTAGGACTAGATTGTTTAAGATCCTTGCTTATTGGTTGCCAATAAGGCTAAATCAACCCAAATTATGTTGATTTAGAGTTTAGGAATTTCATGCCCGGAAGGTGTTCGATAAAATTCCCGAACCAAAACTTTTAAGTGCTTTTCATTCCTAGCCTTTGGAAATTGTTGATTAGGGTGATTAGTGGTTAGATAGACTTGTTTATAATGCTTATTTATCATTTGATTGCCTTTGAAAGAAGTTGATAATTGATTGATTAATAAAGGGATTAATCTCATGGAAATGTCTTAGTCTTGCTTAGTGTTCTATGACCTAAGGATCATCCTTTGTTAGAAGTTGTTTGAACCTTCATAACCCGTCTCTTTGTCATTCTAGTCAATTGCCTTAACCCGAGAATTCGTCTTTTAATTATTGCTTAGTAATTGTCTTTTCCCGCTTTGTTTCAATTCCAATCTTGTTAGTCTTTTGATTATTGCTTTCTTTTATCTTGTTTTGCATTGTTTGATTTAAATTGCATTGTTAGTTACATTTATAAATCAAAACCCTTCTCTTGTTAAGCTTAGATTAAGCAAATTTGTGTATTATTGGTGTGTTAATTAGTTGCTCCTTGAGATTCGATAATTTAATTGATAGGGTAAAATTGCTACATCATGTTTATAGCCCAATAGAGACGTTGAGAGCATGATGATCTAGGGGCTCGTTAGTTCAGTAAAGTTTATATATTATTGCATTTTAGGTTGTTACTCTGGAAATTAGAAACATGTTAAGATGTTATTTATTTCTGGATGATGACTACTTTGGATATGGTTGAAATGCTTGTTTAATGGAACTGAATTTTTTCATTGTTTGGATAAGTCTTACGCTGTTGTTGCTGGTTATTGTGATTGGATTGGTTTAATTTGTTTTGTTTAGTGTATTTGGTTTAAATTGATTAGGACCGGTTTAGCTGGTTAAGATGGTTTAACTTGATTAAGTTTGGTATAGCTGGTTGACTTGGTTTGAATTAATTAGGTTAATCCAGTTTGCATGTTTAAAAACAAAAAAACGAGCTGGGTCTTTTCAAAAAGCTAAATAATTTATTCTTCTCACATAATCTTGTCGTTTTAACTCCATCATTCTCAAAACTAAATATCAAATATTGCAGCATAATTTTAAATCTCTCGATAGTTGTTGTCTCAAAAAGATATTACAACATTATAACAAAAGAAATAAAATAAGTGTAACACCCTTGTTCGGAAATGGGTGGTGTCGATCAACACCAACAATTTTCAGTCGGACCGATTTGATTTCAATTGCAAAATCGGATTGGTTTGGGTTGGTTTAACCCTAGGTTTTGACTTTGAAAAGAAGAAAAAGTTGACTCTGTTTTGTTTCAGCCGCTTTTGAGTGTTATCAGAGAGTGAGAAGTTTCTAAAAGTTCTTGGAGATTTCTGTGAGGTTTTCTGGAGAATTTGAGGCTTGTTCTTGATGGTTTCAGGAGTTAGAAGGCTAGATCTGGGTTAATTGGTGTTAGGAGAGTTTGATCCTTCCATTTCCTCTCTTTTTTGTTTCTGGTTAATCCATTTTAAGAGGTGAGTGCATGACCAAGGCTTATCTAAGCAGTTTTGATTCATGCTTTGGTGTTTTCTATGATTGTTGAATGATTTCCTTGCTTGTATGCTTGTCTTCAGTGTTGTGGTGCCTCTCAACGTCCCTTTGGTGAGTCTCAATCGTCCAAGGAGTGCAAGGAGAAGCGAATGGAGTGATGTTAGGGTTTAGGTGTCGCTCGACACCAGTGGAGGGTCTCGATCAACACTAACTTGTCTGGTCGGGTTTCCAAGTGTTGGTGTCAAGCGTCAGTAGGAAGGTGTCGATCAACACCAGTTCTCAGCATTGACTGAGTATTGTTATTTGTTGCTTCATAATTATCTTTTTTCTGATGCAGGTAAAGGGAAAGTGTGACTGTGGGATCAAGTCGAGGAGAAAAGAATGATCTAGGGGCTCACTGGATGTTCGTGAATAAGGGTAGAACTATTGTTAGGAACGTTAGTTCTGGAATCTAGAAACATGTTAGGAATGCTGGTTTGATTTTGAAATAATGGTTGAATTGTTGATTCATGCAAATGGGTTATTTGGATTGTTTTGTTGTGTCTTCTGTTGGTTATTTCCTGATTTACTTGTTTATATTGGAATTGCTTGATTAACTGGTTTACTTGGAATTTGTCTGGTTTAAATTGACTCAGTTTGGTTGAATTAGTTTAATTGGGTTAATCCAATTTAGTTGGTTTAAATTGATTTAGTAAGTTTTAGCTTATTTAGTTGGGTTAATCTGGTTATGCATGATTAAAAAAAATAAACGGGTTCAGGTCTTTTCAAAATAATAATAAAAATCACCGAAACAATATTCTCATTTGGGTTTGATGTTTCTTTTATCATCATGTATATAGATATTATATTACAATGTACGTATCTTTTTAAAATAATGGGCTTAGACTTTAGAGCTGAATTGAATCTACCGTTCGAACCTCTGGAAATTGTTAAATTTCAAAACCTTATTTCCATAAACGTTTGCGGTTGTAAATTATAGAGGGTGGTCCATAAAATTCATATTTACAATAAGAAAATACTAATAATTTCTAATTACATATATTAGCATATTCAACTGGAATATATATTGTTGTAGATTGCATCCATATATAGATATGTTAATTTCAAACACTAATAATTCTTTAGCTTTAATCTTTCAATTTGAGGAAATAAAAAAGCTTTAATCTCCCGATATGAATAATCATTTTTGTTTAATTATTTAAAAAAAATATTTGAATAAATATTTAGTGATTTTTTAATATTTTCTTTATAGGATTTCATTATAGCCATATTTAATTTTATTATATATTAATAAATATCGATTTTGGTGTTTTTATATATTTATAGTTATATATTACAGTTATTTTGGTATTTGTTTTTAATCTTTGTCGTACTGTTAACCAATTAGTCTTACATCTTCTGCAAATAGTCTCACAATCGTGACCATTGCATTTAAACCCGTGAAACCTTCAACAACATCTCAAGTTTTATTTTTTATTCACTAAATAACACCAGGACAAATACAAAAGTGTTAGTGGTTAATCAAAGCTGATGTGTGTTAATTGTTATAATTGGATTGGTCAACACTGATGTGTCAACACCTGCTTCAATACAAAAACTGATGTGTCAACATTGGGGAGGAACTCCTCCTTCTTTTATTGTATTGATTATCTTAGATCCTAGTTTAGAGGTTGCTAATAATGCTAGATCAACCTTGATTATGTTAATTCTAGTCTTAGGAATTTCATACCTTGTAGGTGTTCGATGAAATTCCCGAACCAAAATCTGTAAGATTTTTAAATTTCTTGCCATTGGAAAATATTGATTAGGATGTTTAGTGGCTAGATATACTTGTTATTAATGCTTATTAGTCATTTAATTGCCTTTAGAAGAAGTTGATGATTATTTGATTAATCAAGTGATTTTTGTCATGGAAATGCAATAGTCTAGTTAAGCGTCTAAGGACTTTGAATAAATGCTTGTTTGAAGTTCTTAGCTCCATAATCCACTTTACTATCGGTCCTAATCAACTACCTTAAGCCGAGGATTCGCTTTTAGTTATCACACCGTTGCCGATTTGCAATTATTAACCAGTGGGATTTTATCCTTATTTGAAACTAAGCATTTCTTTACGTTGTTACTAAAACTTCTTGTTTAGGTTTATTTATTTTTCTCTTGCCAGGTGTTTTCATTTAATCGGGTTGAAGACATTCGCCAGTTAAAGAGAGAGATTGCTCGACAAGAAGAGAACAAGAACGGTTTGATCACCTTTGAATATTAGGGAGATGGCAAACAACCCTCCACCAAATATTGATGGTCATAATGGTAATGAACAACCTCATGTTCCATAAGCTCCCATCCACCATCTAAGAGGGGTGTATTGAAAGTAGAATTTTGGAGGATTTTAAATTTTTTTTTTAATCCCCTGTTATTCAACTAGGGATTTTTAAATCACTTTTTAAATCCACTGTTATTGAATATGACATTTGTAAAAAGTTCTTCAAAATCACTTACAATCCCTGTTATTCAATCAACAATTTGTAAAAATCATATCAAATCCACTGTTATTCAAAACATAACTTTTTTTTTTTGAAAATACCATAAAAGTGATTTTGGGAGACTTTGATATATTTTTACAAAAGAAATCAAGTTTTAAAAGTCACACCTTAGGAGGTGTGATTTTGAATAATTGGTTTAAACAAAAAAAAAACAAATCACATAAATGAAGAAAAAGTAACCAATTTGTTATGGGTTCCATCGTTGAGCAGTTGGGTGAGATAGGCTATATAGCTATAGATTTCTTACTCTGTTTCTTCTTTCAAATCAGGAAGCCCTTCCCTCTCTCTCAGTTCCCTTGAATCAGGACTGCTTGAACTTGACTTAACTCCAACCATACCCGAAGAAAACTCAGCTCCAGCACCAGAACTATCACTAGCACCATCTCAAATATAATATAAGTATCAAACACATTAAAAAAATCCCAACAGGAGATCCTAAGCGGAGACAGAGGTGGCCAATTTATTTTAGAGTTATTTGGTATTAACCTTTAATTATCATGACTTATCTCATCTCAATCTGATTTGGTGTTTGATTAGGGTTGATCATCGTTTAGAAATAACACCTATACATGTGTATGGTGATTTTTGACAAATGAAACTCTTTTAAAATCACCCAAAATTCTCTTTAAAATCTCACCAAATCTCAAACTATTTTCCTTTTTCTAAAATAAGAAATAATAACAAATCCACCAAACTACCTTAAAAAATCACTTAAATCTCCTAAAATCTAAAATATTATAAATCCTATAAAATTCATTTAAATCATAGTTTGAATACACCCCCCTGAGGCAACCTAGAGTCATTGGGACTTTTGATGAACCATACATCCACAAGAATCAAATGGGAATTAGAGCACCTCCGGTAGACAACAAAAACTTTGAATTCAAATCGAGTCTTATCAACCTGGTCCAAGGTTCCAAGTTTCATGGTCTCCGATGGAGGACCCTTTAGACTACTTGGATCAATTTGATAGGATGTGTGGCACACTGAAAATCACTGGCATATTGGAAGATGCATTCAAGCTCTGCCTTTTCGCATTCTCTCTTGGAGACCGCGCTAGAGTTTAAGACAGAAACCTTCCTCAAGGTTCAGTCACCTATTGGGATCAAAGCAAAAAGGCTTTCCTCTTCAATTTCTTCTCTACAATAAGAACGGCTAGGTTATAAAACAAAATATCAAGCTTCACTCAAAAAGGAAATAGCTTATGTGAAGCATGGGAAGGGATAAACCGCTACAAATTTCAATACTCTCATCATGGCTTCTCTAAGGAATCCTTCTTAAGCACATTTTATCGAGGAGTTCTCCTTAATATACGCATGTTGTTGGATAACACAAGCAAGAAAATTATAGAGTAAACTGTAGAACATGATGAGTCCTTAGTTTAGAATCTTGCTTAAAGTGATGAGAATTATAATGAGTACTATGATCAAACTCTAAGGGACAACAATGATATAAGAGATCTACATCGCAAGGAAATAAAAGCATTGAATGAGAAGAAGGATAATAAAGCTACATATAAGTATTCTACATCGCAATGATATTCCTAGCTTAGAGGTTTCTAATAAAGCTAGATCAACCTTGATCATGTTGATTCTAGTATTAGGAATTTCATAAGCGGAATGTGTTCGATGAAATTCTCGAACCAAAATCTTTAAGAGCTTTAAATACCATGCCATTGGATAATGTTATTAGGATGTTTAGTGGCTAGGCAGACTTGTTATTAATGCTTATTAGCCATTTAATTGCCTTTGGAAGTTGCTGATTATTTGTTTAATGAATTGATTATTGTCATGGAAATGCATTAGTCTATGTAAGTGTCTATGGTCTGTGGATAAATGCTTGTTTAAAGCTGTTAGCTCCATAATACACTTCATTATCGCTCCCAATCAATTGCCTTAACCCGAGGATTGGCTTTCAGTTATTGTTTAGTGAATTGAATTTTCCCGCCTTTCTAAAATTCGAATCTTGTTAGTCTTTTGATCTTAGCTTTTCATCTTGTTTTGCATTGTTAGAGTTATTTTGCATTTTTAGGTACAATTAGAAACCAAATCTCAGCTATTTAGCTTTATTAAACATCTTTGTTTATTCATATTGTGATGAGCTTGCAAATTGAGAATCGAATTAATCCATTGAGAAAAGTACTACATCATCGCCAAAGTGGGAAAAGGGGTTCGTGAATCTGAAGGAGATGTTGGCGACTACACTGGTCTTGGCGTTACTATGTGGTGTACATGGATACTTCATGAGTTGGTTTGGACTGTGTATTGATGCAGGAAGGTAAGGTAATTGCGTATGCTTTGAGGCAGTTGAGGAAGAATGAGGGTAACTACCCTACATATGATTTGGAGATGCCAGCTATGGTGTTCGCTCTGAATATTTGGAGATCCTATATATATGGGCAAATGTGCAAGTGCTTACAGATCATAAGAGCCTGAAGTACATCTTCATTCAGTTAAAGCTGAATTTGAGGCTGAGACGTTGGACGAATTTGGTGACAGATTATGATCTGGATATAGCGTACCATCCTCTTAACTCTTACCTTTACGATTTAATACTAAACAATTCTGAAGAACTATTCTTAAGAGCTTCTTATTAATCATGCTCTTAGGTTCTATTTTCTGGTCCATTATCATATCAGCCTCGAGTGACATGATCCTCTGCTTGGTCTTAGCTGCTCACTCAAGTGTGTCTCTCGAGTGACATACTGTTTCTGCTCCGCATATGTAATGTTACTGGATCGTTTCACTCGAGTGTTTTCCTCAAGTTAAATGCTGATACTACTCCGTCTTAGGCTTTCACTCGATGGTGTCACTCAAGTGTGTGCCTCAAGTGACATATTGATTCTGTTCCGAATCTTTCATGTTACTCGATCATGACACTCGAGTGTGTGCCTCCATTGACATTCTGATTCTGCTTTAGATCTGCTATGCTACTCGAGTGACATGCTTCATTTTTCTTTCCTTTGGTTGGTCACTTGATATGTTGATCTACGTCGAATGCCCACTTCACATCCCTGTTACAGTTCCAATCACCACATATGATGATTGTATAAATGTCCGTCAGGTCCAGTTCATTTAACTGATATATAAACATTATCTCAATATCCAAAATGAATGGAAATCTATCTTAACATTTTTGGAGTACAAATTTGTGACCACCTTTGGTTTTAATATTTTAGACACAAAATGCCATTCACATTAAGCTTATAAATATTACTTCATTAAGGTTAATTTTGTCATTTTCTTGGGTCGGTTCACAACAGTTAAGTATAACCCGATTGCAAAATTTGGATAGTACATTATCCTCAAAAGTTGCCTTTCAAACGTTATATTAAATACTATCAAAACACATTTTGCTAATTTTCTTCCGTGTACAGGTGCAGATATCTCTCTTTACACCTACAATCATAATTACAACTAGGTTTTACCCTGTGGTACACCACGAGTCCATAGTTTTTTTTTTTGTAAGTAATATATATGTTTTTTGCTGCTTAAATTGTAGTTTAGTTTATGTATGTTAGTCGCAAATTCTGAGATTTCAACTATTATATCCAGTGTTTTTTGTTTTTGGTTTGCAAATTCCTCTATAACGGTATACACTAACATCGTTAAACAAGATTGTTGTTAAGTACTTTTAACTCCCTAAATATAAGGTTGTCAAATATATTTTTTTCTTTGTGAAAATGATAACAAAATTATTAAAATGTAAAACAATTGCCGAGACATTAAATATTAACTGATGTATTAAGGTGAAGTGTGTATTTACGGGACATCTGGTCCATGTGTATATTTGTCTAACTCAATAGTGTAATATATTTTGTTAACCCGATGTTCTTGAATATATTTGTCTTTTTTAACAAGTAAACATAATGAAATCACCTAATTAATACGTAGACAGTTGTCTTCAATTTGTAAATACATATGTCGCAACTAAAGTGTTAAGTATTAATAATTTGTTTAATTTATAAAGCAAATTATTTTCATGAAGAAACATGTTTTGTAAAGAGTAAAAATTTGCTTTTTAAGTGCCGACAAAAAAGAAAAAATTGCCTTTAAGTTCTATTTCTCAAAGCGTGCCTCTTTCTCTCACCTTCGTTAGATTCCAGAATTCTTTAATTGACTAAGCTGAATCGATCATTTATGTTATTGACAAAAATATTTCAATCTTTTTGATTACCTGGAGATTTCATCTATCATTCTATTGTTCATGGGCACCACAAATATTTTTTTCCCGGGAATTTATAATAGATCAAGGCTTCTGTTTACTCTATCATCAACCTTTCTTCATGGGTTTTTGAGTTATGGCCGCGCTGGAGGCGCAAATCTGTTGTTTGTTTCACCCCATGGTGGTAAACATGACTACGGTTACGGTTAATGCGGTTATGGTTAATTAACCACCGGTTAACGGTTATAATTTTCTTTAACTATAGTCTTAAACATTATATATACGGTTTAAGACGGTTACGATTATATACGGTTACAGTTAATTACGATTATAGTTAAATAGGGTTACGGTTTTTTGATGATTATTATAGTATTAATACTGGAGACAAAAATCTTATGAAATACTCTTTATTTTACAAGTAAAATAAAAAATGTGATTTCGAATATTTATAGTGAATTAGTTAAATCAGGATATTGGATCAAATACGAGAAACTCAACATCAAATACACAGGGAAAATAAGAATAAAAATAGTTTAGTATGAAATGTTTTGATTACTTACGAGTTCAACTTGTTGTGTTCCTTTTAATAATGTGAAAAAATTATTCAAACACTTGATGTGTCTTTTCATTGTATACAGTTATAATATAATTTATTTTAAGGATTTAAATATGCGGTTAACCGAGGGTTTAACCGTATGGTTATCCGGCGGTTTATTATGGTTACGGTTAGTGTTTTTTTAACCGTAATTAATTTACTTGTATGATTAACGGTGATGATTTTTAACCGTATTATACGGTTACAGTTTATAAACAGTTCGGATACGGTTAAGATTAGCTTTTGGTCATGCCTACATAGTGGCCAAATAATGTAGATATCTGTATTAATTTTTTTTGGGTTGGTCTTACAATTTTGATTAATTACAAAAATTGAAGAGTGATAAATTGCTCAGGTATACTTTTCAATACAGATTTTTCAAATTCAGTGTACTAATATTTTATCATGAATCTTCCACTTTCGATTTTATGAATTTTTTACTTGCCTGTATGAAAAACTGAATATATCTTGACGATGTGATCTTTAATCGTACACGTTTGTGTGGATCCAAAACCTTGAGTTCTAATTTCTGTTTTTTCTATGAAGTGGATGATTTTGTCATTTACATATGTGATACCTCTTTTTTTTGTGCAGTTCTTGAAGTCTTTAATCTGGATTGAATGGAAGTTTGGATAATTTACTCAAAAACATTGAATTATAAGGTAAACAACGCAATATATCGCCGTTCTATTTCATACTCCTGATGACAATAGAAAACTATACATTTTTAATGGAAAAAGATAGCTAAGTGTGTATCCAGAAAGTATTATAACTTTGTAGGATGTTCTTCTCAGCTTTATTGTTTATTGGAACCTTCGTTTTAAGTACCCTACAAGAGACAAAAATTCAAAATCGTATATGTTAATTACGCATGTATCTTCACACCCTGCAAATATTACGCAAGGAAAAATGACGTCGATTAGGGAATTTTGGCATTTCGTTTAAGATAGAACGACGTCGCTTGTCCTTATCTCATTTTTTGACTTAATAGAGATCGATTAACGATCCTAAACGGCTGTTAACTCCTCTGTTAGAAGATTTGATTTGATGACATGTTCAATCTGGCTCAGTCAACAGAAGATGGTGATTTTAAAATAACGCCAACGAGACGTCTATGATTTTAATGGCCATAGTGGAAGTCGAGGATTAAAATGGCCAAAATTTGTAAGTTCGGGATTTAAATAACATTTTCCCCAAAAAAAGGTTTGGTGAGTTTTATGTAACATGGTCTTTGCATGGCTGGCGATAATCACTAGAGTTGTCAAATTTTGTTGCTTGTGCTTTAGAATAATTGTGTCATGTAAGCGATTTTAGAATAGGTGAAGAGTATTTATAATTATTAAAGGTGAAAGGAGATTATAGGGTTTTGTGTGAGTTAGCAGAGAAAAATCTTGGGGATAAAAGTATATCTTCTAAATCACAGAATTTCGGAACTACTACTAAAAATTTAGAATGATTTCATGGAATATGCTAATAAGCTAGTGATTTAAAGAAAGAAAAGA